AGATAAATATTGTTTTGTTTGTTGTCCCCCCCCCCCCCCTTTTTTTTTTTTAAACAGGCCTCTGATGATGAATGTTCAAAAGATTCTCTGGACTGCTGGTCCTGCATTTATTGGAATAAAAATAAGATAAATCTACATATTTCACATTGCATTCTAATTTAATTGAATTGCTTTGCAATAAGTTTGATTTGCATTTGTCTTTAAAACAGTGATTATAGATAATTTGAACACAAGAGGGCGCCGGCTCTGCATCTGACGCTTACCATAAGAGAAAAGTACTTTTTTGAGAATTTCCCCAAAATGGCTCAGAAACCGTGGATTTTTTTTTCATTTTTAAACAAGACCAGAATAAATCCTTTTCCGACATAGACCTGCACCTCACAGCGTAAAACCTAAATTAATTTAAAATTGGAGAATTCACATAAGTTTTAACTTTAATGTCTTTTTCTAAGTTAGTATTAGATATTGTTCTCAGAAAGAAAATAAGCTGCATTGTGAACCTCCTACACGCTCCTGGCACACCTCACAGTGTCGTCTGGACACCATCAGGAGCCACCAGAAAGCCATCTTGAAACACTTGAAGACAGGAATCCTGCTAGTTAGTCCAGGCATGCACCTGTTGATTTGCATAATGGTCTTTCTCAAATTTCCCCCCTGAACAATGCGTGCTAAAGAAAGAAAAATCAGAAAGTCATCAGCCTGATTCACCTGTGGGAGGTCACAAGTGCAGCTTTCCACTGTAGGATTTCATTATAAAAACATGTTTTTCTGACTAATTCTCCTTGTGCTGCTCTAGAAACAACACCAGACATGAAAGTAGCTTGGATTTTTGGATTTAGTGTTTCTAATTCAGGCCAGTTGGTCTCATTGGTGGAATGCAATGCCTCGTTTCTCATGTGTCCATCATCATCTCTGTCGAAGGTCTGCAGGCAGTGATCTTTCTCAGTGCAGACAACATAAATGTGGCGTTCCTGATGCAGCTTCAGAACACAGCCCCGCTCCTCCAGCTTCCTGTTAAACAGCTGTGGGGGTTGTCTGCTTCCTATTCCAAAAAAAAAAAGAAAACCTGGGTCCTCATCACCTAATTGGACACTGCTGATTAGCTGCCAACTGGATTGGCTGAAGTTATTCATCATCTGTGACTGAAGTCCTGATCAGAGTCAGTGAAGGACCAGAGAGTTTCGCTCTTTTGTCCAGGGGTATGTTTCCCTGGGAAATTTTGTAAAAGATCTACTGAAAACTATTCATTTGAAGAGCATTTTACTAAATTATTGGGATTAAATTATTGGGATAAAAAACAACATAAAATCAGTATTTTACAAAGGTAGAACAATGAAAACCAGACTTTAACCTGAATTTTATCTGAGAACAGAAACTTCCATTATCCTTATTTTGTTTTCTTTTTACACACTGAGCACCAGTAGTTAGTCTTGACTGCATCATTTTATCACAAAACATCCTCTGCACCATATAACACCTCATTAATAATGCAGGCTGAGAAACCCACAGAACAAGTTACCTTCATAAATCTGAGTAACCAGTGATTATTCTACAGACTAAATCAACTATACTCTGATAAAAAGTTGTGAAAAAATTGTCATTATTTGTGGCACACCCTGGCTGGGTAGCTCCCTTAGCATTTGCCTATTCTGCCTGTACCACGGGCCGACCCTGCAGTTTGGTGCAGCGACTTCATGTTACATTTAAAGGGTTTTCTGCTTTGGCTTCAAACATCAGGTCTACATGTGCACCAAGTCCTCCTCCAGGAGGAGCAGAGAAAAGAAGAGCTTCCTCCTCCCTGCTTTATGCTTTCATTACAGCTGACCACTAGAATGCCTGTTTGCTCAATCAGGGTTTTAACATGACTCCTTTTATGATTGCTGATAGTGTGGTTCTGCAATCTAGTGTTTATAGAAAAAACAGCTGTGTTAAGTACACATCGCAGTGATGACAATGGTCTGGCAGTGAAGCGTAGAATGTATAGGCAACCACGACTGATTAAAGAGATTTTCGTCCTCTTTTTCCTCTTGGTTCTTCACAGATTTGCTGTGATTCTCTGTAATTTAAGTGATTCTCAGCACCCAAACGTGGGGATGCTACAAGTTCATTTTGGACAGCGTGTGGCCAAACGCACATAAAGAGGGCCTCATTGAAATGCATTCCTTTATCTGGAGCAGAGCCGCCGACACATGTTTTGATTTGTAAATGATATAAAAGTCTGCAGAACGTGTCCAGCTGAGGTCAGAGACGAGCAGAAGCTCTCAGCCACAAGCAGTCTTGAAAAACTGCTAGTGTGGTGATAAAGTATCCCCCAGCTGACGACTGTCTGTGTAATATATAAGATGTTGGAGAAGGGGATATTGATTCATCGGGTTAGTTTTACTGCTGGGCTGTGCAGCTGCATTATTTTCAAGTGTGTTGGGAAACCTTATATTTCCACTGTAAAAGACAGGGCCTCTAATGTGGATTGTCCAAGTGTTTGACAAATATCCCGCGCTGCTCCACCCTATTGTCAGTGCAGCGTCACTGTGCAATTTATGAACTGGCTGTGAAGTGGGATTCGTCCTCATCCTCGTGTCTGAAGTGCAGCAACAGGAATTAAAGAAACGCTCTGAGTCATGCTAGCACAAAATGATGCGGTCAAATCTGTCAGTCCCTCAGTTTGATCCAGACTGAAGTATCTCAACAACTTCATAGATTGCCAAAAAATAAAAAATAAAATAAAAACATTGTCCCTTGTGTCCCAGAGATTATTATTTCTGACTTAAGCTGTTGCATATCTTTTCCTCACTTTACACTTAAAATTTTTATTTTTCCAATCAGATGAGTTGAGAGATGTTGGATTGATTCTATTTGTTGCTGATGTTTCATAAGGTCTTATTGCTGACTACTAAATGTCAGATCTTTACTTACTTTTTGAAATATCTCATCTACAGTTGGATTTTCAATAAACAGATTGGCATTCGAGTTTGTTCTCTGAGACTACAGGCTGTAAATAAAGACTGAGACTTTCATGGTTCTCATAAAAACACCACAAGACTCATATTTGTGACTCTGAAAATAAATGACCAGTAGATTGATAGTTTGATACTTACAGTTTTAGGCAGTATATCTTAAGCTAGTGTAGTGCTGCACGAGGACGTCCCATGTTTTTGACTCAAATAGGGTCACATTTGTCGACTCTGCTGCTTGACTGTGGATAATCTAATGAAATGACATCACAGCAATGGTGCCAGTATCCAGCAGTCACTGTGCGAGGGGCAGGGTGGACAGGTCACAAGTCCATCACATAGAGACAAACAAGACAAAACAACCATTAATTTTCTCACTCACAACTAGGGACAATCTGAGATACCAGTTAAACTAGCAGTCTGGTTTTTGGTCTGCGGGAGGAAACTGAAGTGCCCGGAGATGGTCCCTGGCCAGCATTCGATCCAAAACCCTTCTTGCTGCGAGGCAACAGCTGTACCTGAGCCACCGTGCAGCCTGGAAATAAAACCACACTTTTTTATTTATTTATTTTTATATTTTAAGTATCCAATTTAGAACTTAGAATATGTTCATAATGTTGAATATGTTGTAACCAGCTAATATAAATGTTTAATAGGCGGAGCATCACTGAAAGAGCTGCTTTATTTGGTCACTCATCAGGTCAGAAAAAGCCAAGCTGCTGCATATTTATTTTTTATTTATTAATTTTTTTAATACCTAAGATTTCCACTTCGTAGGGTAGCTGATAAATATTATTACAAGGAGGAAACCCTGGGTGATCTAAGGGCTTGAAAAGTAAAAAAAAAATGCTTTTCATTTTAATTTCTTTTTATCAAGCTTGTGCTTCATGATGGACTGTTTCCTTCTTATAAACTTGTTAGATTTGGAGCATCATAAAACACCACCTCAAGGCTCAGTATGCTGTGCTGTAGCCAAATCCAAAGAAAGTCAAGTTTTAGTATTTTGAGGAGAAAATCGTATAATCTCAGGGACTGATTTCTTCATTCATACTTTCTTTGCAGAGAGAATGATTAGATGGAGATAGAGGAGGCATTTCACAGCTTTGCAAACACATCTGGTCTGCACATGTGCAACCTGTTTGTGTGGACATCAGCAATGACCAGATAACAGCGTGGTGTTAAATTTAATCCAGAAAAATGCCTGAAGCTGGTGAGATGAAGAAGCAGATGGGGGAGAAAAGAGAGGTATAGTATAGAACAGTGGTTCCCAAAGTTGGGGTCGGGACCCAAAGTGGGGTCCTGAAAAGATTTTCTAAATTAATTACATTTTTGCCTTAGTTCCCTAAAATGTATAAATGTAGAATAATAAATATTGTTACTATGCCCATGTTTAGTTGACCTGATACAAATGTTTATCATCCAAAACTAGTTGTGGGCTCAGGTCTCTGCTACTGTTATTTTGTGGGTCAAAAGCTGAAAAGTTTGGGAACCACTGCACTTCAGAAATCAATTTAAAGGGTAATAAAATAATTGGTGATGTAATATTTTCCCTATAATTATTACAAAAACACAAAATGAGTATAAATACGGATTTATATTTGTGTGGCCTTTGTTTTTAGGGTTATTAACAAAGTTTGTGTACTCAGACCAGTAATATTTGGGGTCACAAGTCTTTGCCATGAATATTTTGTGGGTCAGAAG